CATCAAGGAGATCTCAATAAAAATTTGTTTAATCAAAAGCGATCCATTTCAGGGGGAAAAGCATCTAAGGAAGAACCCTATAATCATAGGCAAGACTAATAATTGTAGGGTTATATCACTTGAAGATACTATTGACAAGGGGTGATAATTCTGAGATCCAATCAACTTAGATCAACCAGAGGCATACCTTTTGAAGGAACATTCCTTAATCAAGTCATATCACAACAGGGTATGACTCAGTTACCTCATTTTAACAAACCTCTCAAGGCCTTGATAATGAAGGGTAACCTTCCAAGATTCAAATGTTGGGGAATTACATACAAAGTTCATCCTACTACAGTAGGGTCCAAATTCCCCTTCAAGCAACTTCAAGTACAAACTTTTCAAGCTTTGAATACTTATGGAAATCTATGTGAAGTTCATGGTGAGGTCTAAGTTCTTTCTAAGGGTACTTCCTCCAAATCCTGGAGATTGATGGGCACATCTTTCAAAATTCGAATGTTGGGGAAAACCACTGCGAGGCTCGATCAAAACGAGTTGATTCAAAATGGTTCATCAATGCCAAACATTTTGAAGAGTCTTTTAATCAAGGGCATAGTTCGATATAGTGGGAATATTCTTATTATGATCAAACTATTTACAAGATCATATCCATGCGAATTTTCTCCAAGATCCAACATATTCCACATATGGGCAAGCTCTTTGCGTACTTTCATAATCTCCAGTGGATATTTATCCTACATAAGCAATCTTCAAGTTCAAATCGAGTATTGAGAAATAATGATAGCATAACATTCAACCATCACGTGACAAGCAACCTTGTTGCATAAGCAAACCTCTACGCTGTAATCACCCACGACCCATCATAGGAGCATGAATCAAAAGCACACGAGTCTGCATAAATAATTATCATGCATCTGTTAGGTTATTTTGATCCAGAATCAAGCTATTCTTATCATCTCATTCGGCTGATGACTTCCGACAACATGGATCTAACAAAGAGACCAATTTTCATTGGCACATCAAAATTTCAATATCCATTAATGCGTATCCAAGTCACCCATTATATGCATTGGTCAGACATTTTAGTCATTAATGCCTGCATCAGCATGCATACATGACATATCATAGACCGAGACTTAGGACCCTGTAAAAATATAGAGTCAACTATGGGAGTAAATATTATAATCTCTAACATCTCTCCAACTATCCCTCTCAATAATTCTACGATACAAGCATTCTTCATCAAACTATGTCGTGACCAGCTTCATGCTTTCCAAACACCTGATCAACGTCTTCTGGTGACCCTACCGATATTAGCGACCTTGTTGTCCGTCTCACCTTCCCAAGTTGATAATATTAGGATAGCCCCATTAACGTTGGTTTAAAGCCCAGTTCATGTCTGGTGCATCATTTCAAAAATCTATTTATCATCTAAAAGTGTTCCAATTTCCGCTTGGAAGCTAAATCCTCATCACCAGTTCTCAGCTGGTAGCCTGCCTTAGGAACTGATTCTGCAGCTCAAATCAAATGGGCATTGCATTTATCAATCATCACATAATTTGGATTCATAATATTATCATGTTAAGCATGCATACCACGCATCATGCATGCATCAAGCATAAACATATCAAACATACACAAATTAAAATCCAATCTTAGAACTATCCATTCATCTTACTATCACTATAGCTACCTTAATTTAGAACAGACACAACCGTTAAAGGTACCACTATCAAAAATTCACTAGGCAGCTTACATACGATTCATATCCAAGGCCTAGTCATCACCAGCCTTCGGGCATTACACTTGCAATTATCAAGTTTAAACTTTCCAAGTTCGAACCTCTCATAATTTTCAATTTCATTTGGTCATCATGTTAATCAAGCCTTGGTTAAGAACAAACACAACCTGCTTTATTTTCCAAATTATGGGGTTTATTTCATCATGGTGATAGTCTTGGTTGAGAACAAACATAGCCGACATCATCACTGAATTTTGGGGTTCATTTCGTCATGTTGATAGCCTTGGTTGAGAATAGACACAACCGACATCATCAGTGAAACATCAGTTTCAATCTTCAAACCTAACATTTTTATGCTAAACAATCACCTTGGTTAAGAATAGACACAACCGGTAAAAAACTCATATTGCATGTTGGATTTAGTTATCTAAGATTTGATCATTAAAAACAGCTTTTTCTGCGATATAACTCATTACGTCAGTCTCTATGAAGCAATGTGTGAAATCCGCGATATAGCTCATTGCGTCAGGCTCCATGTAGCAATGTGGGAAATCTGTGATATAACTCATTGCGTCAGTCTCCATACAACAATTTTGTTATCAAGATTTTCCTGTGATATAACTCATTACGCCAGTCTCCATACAACAATGTGTGAAATCTGTGATATATCTCATTGTGTCGGGCTCCATGCAACAATGTGTGAAATTCTAGATATAACTCATTGCATCAGTATCCATGTAGCGATGTGGTTCCTCCTCTTCAATATAACCCATTGCGCTAGTCTCCATGCAACAATGTGGGAAATCTATGATATAACTCAGTGCATCAGTCTGCATATTGCAATGTTGTTATCAAGCTTTTTATGCGATATAACCCATTGCGTCAGTGTCCATGTAACAATATGTGAAATTCATGATATAACTCATTGCCTCAGTCTCCATGCAGCAATGTAGTTATCAAGCTTTTTTCAATTATCTATCTCCTAGGTTGCGATAGATATGTGAATAAATCTATGTGATCCATTACATCTATCTCCATGCAACAACGTATTATCAAACTGTGTTTTATTTATCTCCTAGGTTGTGATAAATACACACGTTCCTCCTCTGCAATATAACCTATTGCATCAGTCTCCATGCAGCAATGTGTGAAATTCGCGATATAGCTCATTGCGTCAGGCTTCATGCAGCAACATGCAAAATCTACGATATGACCCATTGCGTCAGTCTCTATGCAGCAATGTGGGAAATCTATATTATAATGCAACGCGCCAGTCTCCATGCATTAATGTTGTTATCAATATTTTTCAATCATTTACCCTTTGGGTTGTGTTAGATTTGCGAATTGTCGGTTCATATTATTCATTCTCTGGGTTGCAATGAATACATGAATTTATCCTCAGATTATTTGTTCTCTCAGTTATAGTAAAAATGACAAAGTCGGCAACATAACTCATTGCGCCAGGCTTCATGTAGAAATGTAGTTATCGAGCTCTTTTCAAATATCTATCCCCTAGGTTGCGATACATATGCGAATAAATCTGCATAATCCATTGCATCAGTCTCTAGGCAACAATGTGTTATCAGACTTTGATTTATTCATCCCTTAGGTTGCAATGAATAGACAAAATCAAATCAAATCCAAACTTACATTATTAGTATCCAAGCATTAGTAAGTCAACTTTTTCAAAACTTGTATTTTGGTAAATATGCAACAAAAAAAAACTACAATCTCTCTTAGTTATTGACGAGTTATCCATGTCATCGTGTCCAAGTTAAATCAAAACTTTGGTTCAAACGCTGGGAAGATGATACACCATCATCCATACTCACTCTTCAATCATATCTCTCTATTCAAACTCTGGTAGAATGATGCAACATCATCTTTGCCTTTTTATTTATTAAAACTCTGGTAGGATGATACATCACCATCCTTGCTTATTTCTTTGAGCTCTGAGGTATGCTATATCAATGTACCCTTATTTAATAATTCTCTGGTCCAAATTTTGGGGTCTTCCATTATTTAATAACCCTCTGATTCAAACGTCTGAGACCTGTGTATTCTCGCACCATTCTATTGAAGAGTGATTAAATAGGGGCAGCAGTCATACCCCATATTTTCCTGTCCTTTATCACTACAGTCGAAATTAATTTCAAACTTGGATTTTTATAAAAATTATTTTGATTTACATTAGTATTTTCGGGTTCTATAAATATTCGTTCGCAAGTCTACTTAAAAATATAATAATTTATTTCAAATTATTTGTATTTTTAAAATAGAAAGTATTTGCGCACCTTTCATATACTTTCAATTGAGTTTATTTACAAATGAGTAACATAGTCCAATTGGTAAAGAATGAATTATGCAAGTATGAGGTCGTTGGTTTGAATCTTGTGTGTTGCATTTTTAACATTTTTTCTATTTCTTTTTGTTAATGAATTTCTTTCCTTTTTTGGAAATTAGGCTTGAGCTTTTCATACATTTTGGATAACTTAGTCTCTAAGTTTTTTTTAACCTAATTCAAGTCTATAAATAGGATTCTTATTTGTCCTAAAGATCCATCCATAATTTTGAAATTGCACACAGACAATCAACAATTTCACAGTTACAAAATATTTTTGCAATTTCTTCTCAAAGTTTCCACTTGGGTTTTTTTTGCCAATGATTTCATATGAGGCCACCCACGCTCTGTCCCTTTTTATTTTCAATATTTTTATTTGTTTGTTAAAATGGATGATGATTCTATGATGGTTATCTATTCAGATTTTTTTTATTATACTTTGGTTTATTTTATTTATATATGACATAGGCCAATTAGAACATTGATGCATGTTTTTTACTAACCATTTACAATTTTTAATGCACACAATAATTTTCACTTGGTAAACGTTTTTTTTTAAAATTGTATATATGTTATATTTTTGTTTTGCACTAAAATTATGTATTCCACATTTTTTATTAAAATTCTATATTCTATATTTTTATTTTTTTTACATTTAAAATTATATTATTAATTTTATTCAGTTTCTTCACTAATATGTAAACACCATGTCACGTTAGTTTTTTTCTAAAAAAAACATGAACCTATACTCTATATTAATCAAATTCCATCATTAACAACTATTCACATAAAAAAAATCACAGACTCTTCTCATATTTGTAAAAAACCAAACTCCAATAACTTCACCTTTTACTTTGTTTCTATCATAGCCACAAACGTAAAATTTACTAGTAACAACAAAATTTCAAATTAAGAATGAAATACACAAGAAATTGCAGGAAAAAAGGGATGAGAAACAGATCAAAATCCGAGAATATTGTCGGAAAACCCCCACTGAAAAATGTCACAACGTTATCACCGAGCCATCACACCCAGATCTACATCTCCCTAACCTCGAACATCCACCGTCTTCAATCGAGTTGCGGCTTCAACCGCCACCTGTGTTATTACCGCTCCCACAAGCGAATGACCTTCACGATGCAAGGAGAAATAGGATCCGCTAGAAAGCTTTGTTTTGTCAAAAGAAAAAGGAGAAGTTTTGAGAGAAAAGGAAAGTAGGCACCTTCATCATTAGAAGTGAAGAGGAAATGATATTCCATGATATGTGTTATCTCATCAAGTTGGTATAATGTTTTTATTGTTATTGCTAAACCGTGTCTCTTATTGTAAATGATAGACTTAATTGTTTTAAAGAACGTAATGAATAATAAATATATTTTTTTTCTAAAATTGTTTTTCTTATTACCATGTAAATTTGTTATATTTAATTTATAACTATTCATTATTTTCCTTTTTAATATATGTGTAATAGTCCAAATTAGTGTTAGGTCATCTTAAATTTTGATATTAGGGCTAGAGTGTTGATGAGTAATTAGGCCTTAAGTCTAATCCTTTTATGCGTACACCCTGGTTCAATTTATCACCTTCTTTTGGTTTCAACTTAACTTTTTTTATTTGTTTAAATGATTTAATTAGTCAAGATTAGTTACTTTAATTACTTTTACTAGCTTAACAATTTTTATAATCTTAATTAGTTCTAAAATATGGTTTGTTCTTTTTTAGTATAAATCAAGTTAATTATAAACATCCTTCTAAATAATTAATTCAAATATTCTATAAGCAATAGGATGTCCATCTTCGAGTAATTAAATTGGTCGATACATTTTGTACCGGTTTACTATTAAAAATCAAATATTAAAACCAACACAATTCACCATCCGCAAGCGACATGTGGCCAATATCTGGCCACGTGATGAGGAGACTATATCAGACTCACCGTTCTATGTCCTAATACAGCTAACCAACATCAAAACATTTTTCTACTAACATAATCAAAACCAAGATTCTTTCGAAAAATGGTTAAGGAGAATTTCTTTTTAAATTAAATGCAAACTACGTCTACGCTCACACAATTTTTAACCCAGACAAGGTTCAAGGATAATTCAAAATCAATTCTATGTAATCCTATAAAAAACACCAACCAAAATATGAACTACGAATTGATACTCTGATTCCTCATGAGAGGATACGTAGGCATACGAATAAAATCGTGGCGAGTTTCTCTAATAAAACTTAAAACACTATTTCTTAAAATGCGCTTCTAAACCTTGTATCCTTGTGAACCAGGTAGAAAATAGGTGCATAACACCTTCCCCTCATCTAGAACCAAGTTAAACTTAGAATCTCTAAACTCTTTAGGGTTATTCTTTTATACTCATATCCTTTAGGATAAAAATTAAAGGTGACAACTCTTATTTAAAAACCACTTACAACAACAAGCTCTGTCAAACTCACTCCAAACCCTCAAATTCTCCATGTTCGTTTTCATATTTAAAAGCTTCATCTGTCCAAATTCTCAATCACCATACTTTCCTTGATCTTCACTGAAGCTAACCTAACTGGAATCAAAGCTTGAGGTGCAATAAATCTCTCAAACCAAGTCAAGTTTCAGAGCAGTTTTAACAAACTTTGTCCATGTAGTTTGGAGCTTTGTCTTGAGAAATTTAAAATGCTAAGATGTAGTCTTCAACCTTCTGATCCTCATTATATCCTCCATTTTCTTTTATACTTTTTTTAATCATTTCATTTGGTTATCAAAATTTAAAAATCAGATCATGTTTTTTAAAATTCTGTTAATACAATTTAAATAAATTTTGTTTAAAAGCATGATTAAGGTCACTTCAAGAAAATGATTCCAATGGCACTGATGTCATGTTCTCATGTTTCCATTTGTCCAAACTTTGATGAGAGTGGATCAGAGAAGATAATCAGAGTTCATCTCCAGTAGTTCTATGTTTTCAAAAACCTTGGCCAATGAGATGAGGCCAAGTGAAATATTTTTATTGGTTGAGTAATTTCCAGATCCAATGAGATTTTTGTTGCAAAATCCCATGGTGTGACCTCACTTTTGATCCTTTGAGATTTCCACACAATTTAAGTGAAGATGATCCAACGCCTCAGATCTTTTTGGTTTTGTTTTATTTTACAAAATTTGTTTTAAATTCATTTTATTTTTAAAAATTCATAAATATTTCATTTTAATTCTAAAAATATTGAAAAAATTTACAAAAGTCACTTGAATTATTTCCGACTTTGTGTAATATTTTGATAATTTTATTTTTATGTTTGCTGTTTTTTATACTACTTTTTACTTATTTACTTGATTTTAATTAGCTTAAAAATAGTTTTCTATATCTAAAAATAACCAAATATTTTATAAAAATATTATAGATTATTTCTGATTTTTCAGTGGTCTCACTTGATTTTTATTTGATATTTTGATAATACTTTGGTATTTTTCCATTTATTTCCAATTTAAAAATAATTTTTATATGTAATTTAATTGCTTTATTTTCATTTTAATTTTTGTTTGACTTTGTTGACTGGTTGGCCTTGGATCTAATCTTGCTTGATCATAAGTTTCATCAACCTCATTAGATATTCAGTGTTGATGGGGTGAAAACCTTAATCCACCAAAATGGATGAATAATATTGATGATAACTTGATTCATGCCTTGATTCAACTTAGGATTTACTTTATTGTTATTTCTTCTCCATCTCTTTCTTCTTCTTTTTGTTTTGCATCAATTGGATGATTGATGATTCTTCTTGGTTTAATCAAGTTTGAATTAATACTTGATGAACTTTGATCATTTCAAATCTAGCTCTAAGTGATCATTTGATCACTCAAGGTACTTTGTATTGGTGTAAAGTTTATCTCAAGGTGTCATGAGAGATTTGGTTGTGTAATAATCTCATCTCCTAGAGTTATTCTTGGTCCACCTTTTTTTTTACTTGTGCTACATGTTTTAGGAGTATGGTTTCTATCATATCTCTAACATGTATGGTACATAAATTGTTATTGATCGGTCTCGTATAGTATTTACTTTTACATAAGTTCGTCTTTGATTGCTTAATATAATGCTAAATTTGTCCTGAATTGGAAAAATAACATACTAACGTTAACCTTTATTGTACTAACTTTTACTTTAATGCAATTTAAATTCTGTCATTTACATTATGTCATTTATTTTAGCATCTTAATCATTTTTTTCATTTTACTTTCTTGCCTTTATTTTATTCTTTTTTTCCTTTGCTCCTTGAGCACTTTATTTTTATGTTATTTTTTCATTTGATCACTTGATATTTCTTTTCTTTTTTAAGACATTAATAATCAACTTAAACAATTGAAAGACTTAAGGCTCTCTTTGGACTATGGTGGCTATCCTTTGCATCTTGGAGTATTTGGACCTTTTAGACTTTAAGATAAAACTTTAACACTTTGAGGCCTTTAGACCATGAGAATTTGTTGTTATTTTGTATGTGTATTGCAAATTTTTCTGTGTGCAAGTATTACTTTCAAAATCATCTGATGTAAAAATCATTCATTTAAGATATCAAGTTCATCTGATACATGCCAATTCATTTGTACTCACTATTATTCAACTGGTGCTTATTGCTTGATTATGAAGAATAGAAAAACACAAGAAAGGGGGTTTGAATTGGGGTTTTCAAAAATTAACACGATATGAAATGTTAGTTATCTTGGTTTGCTTTGAACTCAAAGCTACTCTAGTCCATCCGTCAAGGTGATTTTTCCTCTATCAATCGAGGTCTTAATCCACTAATCAATGATGATTACAAATCACGAAGACAACCATCAACGTCTTCTTGAGATCAAACCACAACTTGGTTTCTCAAGGAAATGCAATTTTAAACAATTATGCAATGTATTTACAAATACTTATAATAAGCTATATCACAATTGTGATGTTTACATAAATTATATCATAAAGAATAACTTAAAAGATAAAAATATATAAGAATGTTTAGAGCGCTCTTTGTTCGTATGCGTGAAATATTCCACTTTGATTCATTTTCATAGTTCCCTTTATATAGAAAAGGTTCAAAGATCCATTGGAGACATATATGCTTATTTTGGAAGGTTGAAGATTTGAGACATAACATCCTTTACAAAAATACAGATGTTGTTCTCATTCATAATGTTCCAGCTGTTACTTTCTTGATCCTATATTGATTGACATTAATGTGATGTTGGATCTACATACATTCAGAGTATTCAGAACTTTGAGTGCTTGGTCTCAGAACTTCAATTTGATGTATACATTGAAACTTATTTGTTCTTTTAGAACTTTCTTATCAGAGTATAACTTGCAGCTTGGTGCTTCAGAAGTTTGACTTATGCATCATAACTTCTTTTATTGGTGTGTCACTTTTAGTTTCGCTTCTAAGCTTCTTATAAGCATGTTCTCTTCAGAGGTCATAACCGTTTATCTAATTCATTATCTTCTTAGCTTTCATCAAAACTTCTTTGTACTTTCAATCAAATGCTTAGAGTGCATAATTATTATTCATAATAATTATGTATTTGTTATGAATAAAACTACGAATTAGATGTAGAACCAAACTATCCGCCCCTTTTGGATGATGTCAAGACATACATATTTTGATGAACAATTTTGTAACTTAATAGTAAGAGATATTATCATACTCTCCTCATGAGTCGAATACTCAGATACAATAGAAATAGATTATGAATAGAATTTTCCATAAAGATGTTTACTCATCAGATGCTAATCAGAGCATGTGATGGAAGATCTGAGAAGCCTGTGTTGAAGGGATGGTAATACATACCACAAGTTTAGAGTGAAGACTATTCGTGTAAACTTTCATATCCAGAAGTTACGATATATTGAAATGTTTAAGACTTAGTCCACAACTGTTATATTAAAATATTTTCACTTCTCCCCTTTTCTGTCATAAATCAAAAAGAATAAAATAAGGAAAACATAGAAATGTATAGTATCAGAGTATTGAACCATTCCTGCATTTTTGTTTCAAAATCTAGCAACAGTCTACCAACATGTGGTTTGGTTGGAATTGGTTTGGGTATTGTGTTGCACCCCAAAATTTGCCCTCTCATTTTACCAGGATTCTCCTCACAAGACTCTTTGGTCTCAAGACCAGATTAGGCTTTGCTCAGCTCAAGACATCTCCTTGCACTGATAGCCTGAAATTAAGGTTTGAGTTTGCACAGG